TGATATGTGTATAATAAATAGTAATTGACTTAAAAATACAACTAGAACTAAAAAAGCTATCAATTTAATTAAATAATACGAATTTGTAATTAATATTAAACGCATTAAATAACAATTTAAAAATGATATAATCGTCCAAACAGCCAGCAAATATTTGGACCAATAATTACGGTTATATTCATTGATTTCGACATAAATAGCATTTAATTCGCGTATAGTTTTTGTAATAAATACATGGTTTTGATAATAATTAAACTTTTCAATATGTATATAACGCTGCTTGATCATAATATTAATAGCACTTATTTTTGATTTTAGATAATATGTGATTATATAATAATAGGCACCTTGGTAAATGTGCATGTTTATCACCCACTTTGTCAAGTATGCGCACATTATCGAGTTAGGTATGCCTAGTAAAATAATGTAGGTCAAATTATTTGTTACAACATATGCATTAGCCATATAAATAAAGGCCATTATTGAAACTAGTTTAATTGTAATTTGAGACAACTTTAGCAATGTTTTAGTAATAAAACAAAGCTGGTTAACCAAAGTACGGTCATTGATCTTGATACTTTTAGGGGAAATTAACCCGCTAATCATTTGAAATACTCTCAAATCTGTCGGTTTAATACCATTTTTATAATTAATATAATTTATAATTTGAAGATAAATACAAAATATATTTAATAATGAAGCCAATATGTTTGCTACGTTGCCACCGGGTAAATAATGGCCGTAATTACCAAAATATAAATGCCATATTAAGGGTACAGTTATATTATTACTAGCCAGGTATACATAAATGAGTTGTTTAATAGTTGTTAATAATATCACAATGAATACAATGAATGGATGATAAAGTAAATGTCGTTTAGTATTGGTTTGCGGTTTAAATAGTGATAAACCAATTGAATACATATGACTGTCAGCACCCCTTACCCTCAATTCCCGGGGTATCGGTTGAGATAAATTATATTTAATTTTTATTATAAATATAATTTATTTTATCAAATTTAAAATTGACTTTGTACAACTTGATTAAATGTAACTTATCTATTCCACATAGGTTAGCTTCCTTTATGCCAATTTGAATACTAATAACTACAGTATAACTATTGTAACTAACTTTATTTTACAGTAATAACCATTATTTTTCAAGTGCTTATTATTTAACATTATAAATGTTAGGCAAACAAATAAATTATACTATTAATAACAATTTTCCTTATAATTTGTATAATTTAATTTAACTTATTAAAAATAATGTTCCAGTACATTATGAGATAATAACATAATTAATGTTTTAAGATTAATGTGTTTTCCAGCACTAAATTAGTGTTTTACACAAAATATAAAAATAATGTATGTCCATATTTTATGTATTTGTCATTTAATTAATTTGTTATTGAAACTATGGACTGTAATAGTTTTATATTTTAACATTAGGTTTTAAGTTTTAAAACATGCAGTATAATAATATTGTGTATTAATTAATACAGATAAAACATATACATAAAATAAATGAATACTAATAAAAACATTAAATATTTTATGCAAATAAATATATTATTAATAACACGTGTATATGTTTTTATAATTTATATAATTTAATTTAAGTTATTTTAAATAATGTACCAGTACATAATGAAATAATAGCATAATTAATGTTTTAATAAGGTTAATGTGTTTTCTAGCACTAAATTTTTGTTTTACACAAAATATAAAAATAATGTATGTCCATATTTTATGTATTTGTCATTTAATTAATTTGTTATTGAAACTATGTACTGTAATAGTTTTATATTTTAACATTAGGTTTTAGGTCTAAAACATGCAGTATAATAATATTGGGCATTATTTTATACAGATAAAATATATACATAAAATAAATGAATACTTATTATTCAACATTATATATTTTTTGCAAATAAATATACTATTACGAACACTTTTATATATAATGTTTCTTATATTATATATAATTTAGTTTATGCAACGCACATGTATCCTAAATATACATACAATAATAATATTGTGTAATGTTGTACAATGAATTGTTTGACATTGAATTTTGAATTTATTTTGACGTGGTGCATAACATTATACAATGTTTTATACTCTACTAGCTAATATAAGTAGTAATTAAGTCTCAAACAAACACATACAATACAAATTATTCTAAATTAGAAAATAAAATGTTTAAATAAATTATTTATTTTGATAACCTTATAAAAAATAACAGTATAAACGCTATAATCTGTAAATATAATATAGACTAGTTTATTTAAAATGTATACAATATGAATTTTTATGTATACCTCATATCCACGAAATCTGTTTATAATAAACATTTTATAGCAAAAAAGCCAATCTTTTTAACAGCAATTCTTTCCATTATATTTAATATCTAAATGTTATAATTAATAAATTAATTAATTGATAAATATATATAGATACTAAGAAATACCTTGAGCCTCATCATGATTGATATTTGTTTTGTATGAGAAACGTATGAATTAAATAAAATATACGAATATTTAGCCGAATTATATAATTGCGATTATTTTACAAGTGCTTATTATTTAACAATATATATTTTAGGCAAACAAATAAATTATACTATTAATAATAATGTTCCAGTACATTATGAAATAATATCATAATTAATGTTTTAATAAAGTTAATGTGTTTTGTAGCACTTAATTATTGTTTTACACAAAATACAAATATAATGTATGTCGATATTTAATGTATTTATCATTTTATTATATTGTTATTGAAAATAAGTATTGTAATAGTTTTGTTTTGTATCAACCTTGCATGTTCAAATTCATTCACACATTCATGTATACATGTAATCCACAAACGTACTGTGCCTAATATTTCGTTTGTATTACAGTAATAAATGACATTGTATATTTTATCGCAATGTATCTCGCAGACATTTGATACTTTTATTGTTTGCCACACATTTACTAAACAATGTTGTCACAAAGGATAGGGAGTAGTGAATGCGAGAGGTGTAAGTAAGTGAAGAGTGAACATAATATGGTATTGTATATAATCCTGGTTCATTTTCTACCGGTGTTTGCATTTATAATGCAGAGAGAGAGAGAGAGAGAGATTAAGGAGTTTAGTTCTACCAGAATAAAAGGGAAAGTAATTTCAAATGTTTCATTTTGCAAGCTTAGTGTATTTTTGGGACAGTTAGCATGTTTGCACCGGTATTATACATATTCAAAAGTCTGTATTTGACGTATTCACATAAAAACTTTGACCATTTATCAAAATGTTTTGTCAATGTAAAAACTAATCATATATTATATAATGAAGTTGTTTCACAAAACTTTAGTCCCGTTTGAAGTGATTGTTTTATTTTATATTATTTTATTGTCTGCGAGATACATTGTGATAAAATATACAATGCCATTTGTTACTGTAATACAAACGAAATATTACGTAGATCATACATGTAGTATTCATGAATTTCAACATGCAAGCTTGATACAAAACAAAACCATTACAATACTTACAATATTACCGTAGATTTCTTTTATTTCCTTATTTTTTTATTTCTTATTTCTTTTTTATTTATGGTGAAAACCTAATGTTAAAATACAAAACTACACTGGATAAAATAGGGCCCAAAATACAAATTTATTCTTGTAAATAAAGAGATATTTTACCCCCAGAATAAACTTGGACAATTTACAAGTTTTAACTGATAAACAATATATAAATGATATATGTATTCCCAAATTATGGCTAAATAAATAATGATGTTTTTCGGTGTATTACAGTAACAATAAAAGTAACGGTGTAACAATAAAATTGATGTACGGTATATTATTTTATCAACTAATTTCATATTTGTACTGGACACTATTCTAGAAATCTGAGTTGATTATTCTGGTTAGTTCACTGATATTAACAAACTTTACGCTAGGCAATGCTACAAAATATACTTAACATTGCGTTTGTTTTACAATAACAAATGAGATAGTTTATTTTAGTACAGTACAATATAAGGATATTTAGCACTTGGATTATTTGGTCCACATTTACTAAATAATACTGTCCAGTTGAAATAGGAATCAGAAATGTAATATTTATTATCATGCACGATATTGACTATATTTATTTATTTTTGGTAAATTATAAAATATTCTAGCAAGTTTTATTTAAAAATACATTTAATATACACTTAACAGTAGTATACAAATTGAAATTAGAAATATAAAAACACGTTATGTTATAAATAAGCAAATATTATATAAAACTTACAAATTATCTCTTGCATGACATGAGTTCACATATTCATTGGGTTCTTCACTATAGCGAGCACCCGGAGGATAGGGATTAGTGAGTGCGAGTGTTGTAAGTGAGTGAGGAGTGAGCATAATATGGTATTGTGTATAATCCAGGCTCATTGTCCACGGTGTTTGCATTTATAATGCGAGAGAGAGAGAGAGAGAGAGAGAGAGAGAGATTAAGGAGTTTTATTTCACCGGAATAAAAGGGAAAGTAGTTTCAAATGTTTCATTTTACAAGCAAAGTATATTTTTTGGGACAGTTAGCATGTTTGCACCGGTATTATATACATTTACAAGTCTGTGTTTCACGCACTCACATAAAACCTTTTGTATCCAAATGTTGTACCAATGTAATAAATAATCACATATTATATAATGAATTTGTTTCACAAAATGTTAATCCCGTTTGAAGTGATTGTTTTACTTTATATTATTTCCATGGACTGTATACACGCTGAATGGTGGCAAGTATTTTATAAATTAACTAGCACCCATCAAATTAATTTACAATTTAAAATAATACTTGCAGTACATTTTAAGGATTTTTTGAATGTTACTTTTTAATATATTGTAAAATATTTATTTGTTATTAAATGTACATTGCTAATTACATGAACATCCAATAGGTTCCTAAGTGAGTACAACTGGTCATCGGTGGACAGTCATGTAATCTGCGACCACATGCCAGGCCTGGATCGGCTACAGCGGCATTACTGTCGCCACAACCCGGCTATCATTGAGTCAATAGCGGCGGGCGTTAGGCTCGGTATTCGCGAGTGTCAGCTCCAGTTCCGGCACTACCAGTGGAACTGTAGTACTAATGGCCGGGACTTGACTTTATTCGGGCGGCAGGTGCTCTCAGGTCTGTCTAATTATGCTAATTATTTTAATATCCTACTATAAATTCAATTATAAACTTGATTTAAATAACAAACAAATATATTAGTCCATATATTTGAACTTGCTAAATTAATTATAGTAATTTATAGCTACACATTATATTATATTGTACGATAATAATATTAAACTTGTATAATTATTTTAACATAGCAAGGTTAAGGTTAAGACTGCATAACATCATAAACTATTATTAATTAGCTAGACAATTTTACTTATATCTCAAGTAACATTATTAGTTTAAATTGCTTTATATTGCTTACTATTATTAATTATAAATAAATATTCATAATAAATACAAACACATACCGTTCCCATTGACAGCCCTGAGCCGCGAGACAGCCTTCATATACGCGATAACATCGGCGGGTGTCGTGCACTCCATCGCCCGGTGGTGTAGCGCCGGTCAACTGCCAAACTGCGCGTGCGATCCCCGGCGAGTGCCCGGCCGTAGGGGACGGGATCTGAACGGGGAGTTCGCGTGGGGCGGGTGTTCGCAGTATATAAGGTTCGCCACACTATTCGCCCGTAAGTTCGTCGACAGACAGGACCGGCACGTGAGGGATGCCATGGCTTTAATGCATTTGCATAATAATCGTGTGGGACGTAAGGTATGTTCAGTAAAAGCTTTATAATAATTATTGTAGATAGGTCATTTAATTTCTAGCAAATTTTATATTCAAAAATAATTTTTAGTGTTATTTAGTTTATAGCTCATGTAAAATATATACTGTATCAATTATTGTAATCTAACAATAATGTTATAACTTTATAAAAACAAAATGCAAACGTACTAGCCTATATAAATTTAATTAACATTATTAGTTTATAAAAATTCATTATTTACAATATATCCTTGACAAATAACTTATAATTTAAAATTGAAATAAAGTTTTTGAATTACAACATATAGATTGTACTGAAAAACGCACGACTCGTATGCAAGTGTCATGGCGTGAGTGCCTCGTGTTTGGTGCGCACGTGTTGGCGCATAACCGGCGACTTTCGCGCCGTTAGCTCGCAGTTGATGGCCAAGTATGCCGGCGCCAAACGGGTAAAACTCGTACAAACCCGGGACAGGTATACGGGAGCTGTACGTCGTGTCCGGGGAGCTAACCGGTTAGGACAGGGAGGTTTGACATACACTCAAAACGAGTTGATATATTTGGATACTTCGCCCGATTATTGCAATGTTAGCCATAAATACGGTATTTGTTTTTATAATAGTCACTCTCTCTCTCTCTAATATTTTTATTTAATAGGCTTTAGCGGTACTGAAGGCCGAGTATGTAATAAAACATCTACCAGTGCCGCCGACTCGTGTGATATCATATGCTGCGGCAGTGGTTACCGGACACAGAGGCTAACCGTGCGATACAAATGCAGGTGCAGGTTCTACTGGTGCTGTCATGTCAAGTGTCAGGTACAGTCTATTCGTACAATATAAAATCATCAATGTTATAAATAATATTGCAATGTTGTTTAACAGGAGTGTATGAAAATACAAACGGTTAATACGTGCAAACGTGGAGTATATTGAGCATGGCGGTTACGCAGTAATATAATATAAATCATTAATAATCATATTTAATAATATATCTACTATTATAGTACATGTACTGTAGTAATCATAAGTGTGTCATTTATTTGTATTGTAAGAAATGTTTTATACATTTACAGAATATTCTAGAAATTTCATGTATATAATAAACTTAATACTGTAAAACATATGGATTGTTTGAATATAGTTTACTTATTTTATAACTATCCACTTTTAAAACACTATTTAAGTAATAAGATAAGTCAATATAAAATCGTGAAATCTTTGATCCAGGTTATACTGGTCCTGCATTTTCTATGCGCCTCTTGCTGTGAAGTCTGTAATTAATTAAAATACAAAAATAAAATATTTATTAAAATATAGTATTCATTAAATTAAAGCATAATTAAG